GCCGTAGTCACAGTCCCCGACTAGACTTCCGGTAATCTCTTATTCCTTAGCCCTCACTATATTAGCCCCTTTCAGCCTTACTGACTTGAGCGTCGGAGTGCCTACGGCAAACACCACCTCGGTGTTTCTCGTTCGCTTCACGCGTGTGTTTCTCTACGTATGCAGGTGCAGCAGATCGCTAGTGGCCTTGACCTCACGGGATCAGACCCTCCTTCCGTACAGATAGATTTTTACGTCTACAGCTACAATGGAGAATCAACTTTGATTTTGGTTTCACCATTGAAGCACATCCATCTTATGTTTCTCCTTCTTCGTCATGTAGGACATGTCCATCGGTAGGTATTGATGTAGCTCATTTGGTCCATATCTGTATGAGTTGGAGCATCCGTCATGTTCCATATATGTCCACATGCTTGATCCTTGATAAATGTCTTCATCAGGGTCCTACTGGACATTCCACTTCCACTCTATCTACTCTGATATAAAAAAAAAAAGTTTTCCAATTTTTTGTTAAAGTCTATCAAATAAGAACTATAGTTATGTTCTAACTGATGGCCTATCTCAGTAATTACACAATTAACTACGTGTGATTTAAAATTAAGATCTACAATAAGGCCTAATCCATATAAAAATGAAATATCTAACCAATATTTCTAGAATTTTTTTTCCATTTTTGAAACAATTTCCATTAAGACTTCATTATATCTATATTTAGAAAAAGTTTTAGAAATTTGAAATAAAATATCTAATGTTAAATTAATAGTAAGATAATAAATACCACTTAATGTATTAATGGAATCATAAAAAAATTTAAGAAATGAATAAAAAAGTTCGCAAAGTATCCAATCATCATAGCTGATGACTTCCTCCGAATAGTTCTTCCGGTTGACGAACTCAATAATTTGTGTTGCGGTTGGCAAAACTTTTTCTAACATCAAGTACGTGGAGTTTCAATAGACAGACATGTCCATATATAACTTCTTTAGTCGAATCAACGGGTCTTTTTGCTTATGATATTTGACGTACTCCTGCCATCTTGTATTGCTACCGACGATGAATCCGATAGCCGCACACACCCTCTCAATCCTCAAATTTATAGCTTATAAATCTGCTTTAACAATCAAATTGATGATGTGACAAATACATCTCTGGTGAAAAAATCTACCTTTACCATGTGGATCCAATTCCTTTTCAAATAAAGATATAGTCACGGTGTTAGCAGCTGTAATTAGCGCTACAATTCTATCAGTTAATACATATTCTCACAAAACTTCAATAATTGTAAAATAAATAGTGTCGACATTATGTTTAGCATATAATAGTTTAAAACTTATCAGTTTTTGTTGTAAACCCCAACTATGATCTAGGTAATGTATTGTGATACTCAAAAAATTTGTTTTTGATCTAGCATACCATATTTCTAAAGTAAGTGAAATAGATATATTCCTAAAATTTTGAAATTCGTTTTTAAGTTTATCACTTATTTCCTTATAAAGTTTTTGTATGTCCGTTTCACTTGTACCTCTACTAACAAGGCTATATGCTTGACAAAATGCAGTTTTAATCATTTCAACAAAATAATGAATTTCAAATAAAGAAATAGGACAGTCTGTAACAACTATGTATCTTGCTACTGTCTCTTGTGCTTTGAGTGCATTGTATTGTTAAGTTGACAAAGTTGATAATTGTGGATTAAAATTAAGTTGAGTTTGAATTTTCTTACCAAATTTGGTTGAAGATGAACCAGACTGTTGTATATATTAGGGGTGTTTCTTCTCCAAGTGCTGTAGCATCGTCGAAGTTCTATTCTCAATGTCGATGATTGTTGGACAAAAATTGCATACGCCACACGTCTCTTCCCCCAACCCATTTGACTTTGGCCATTTTGATTTGGTGAAGAATTGGCATACCTTGGACTCAACCCTCTTTGACGGTCGAGTTGTGGAGTCGCAACTCGTTTGTGTTTGGCTGGACCTAGTCCTAACCATTTGTGATTGTGGAATTGCAGTTGTTGTCTCTAGAAAGGGTGAAAATAGATCGAACCCTTCCATTTCTTCAATGGATGGAACGTAAAACTCATTTGGAGATGATCCTCTAAATGCATAATTTTGGAAATCTATTATGAATTTATAATAAAATAATAAATAATTAAAATGAAAGAAATTGAATAATAATATGAATAATAGATTAAATTGAAAAATGGAAAAAAAAAATTGAATAATATAAATAATAATATGAATAATATTATTTTAGCCCTCATTTTTATTTTCTATTTAAAAAAGGAGTTTTTTTTTTGATATTTTCTAGGGGTCTTTTTGAAAAAGGGGGAAAGGGTTTTGGCCCGAGCCTTGGAGGAGGGATCGAACCATGGTCGGGCCCTCTTCCACGATCCTAGTCTGGTTTTGGGACCGAACATTGTGAGGACTGATCCTAAACCTAGGTGGGTTTTTTGGGTCCAGTCTAAAATTCCTACCCTAGGCTTTATAGAAACAAGTGTCATTTAATGATGGACTTTATAGCAATGAGTGTCATTGTATGATAGGCTTTATAGCAACAAGTATCATCGTATGATGGGTTTTTATAGCAACGAGTGCCATTGTGTGATGGGATTTATGGGACAATATGTGCCATCGCTTGATGGGCTTTTAGCAACGAATATCTTGGACTTACATGTTAATAAAAGATTAGGGCATTTTAGAGCGCCTTGGGCTTACATGTCAAAGAATATCAAAGGCTTGACATTTAAAGATGTCATGGGCTTATATTTAGAGAAAATACGGCTTTATTTGGGCTGCCAAGAGTAGCATTTGAACCCCAAGTCAAGCTTTGAAGCTTAAGTGGTAGCTTTATACGTTAATTAGAGTCTCGAATGCATGATTAGGCCTTAATTATATGATTGGGCGTCCCTTGACAAATGTGGCCATCAACACATTGTTATGTGTTATGTGTTCCCATGTTAAATACATCTTACCTGTGATAACGTAACTTGTCTTCATTATCAAATCTATTTCTTGGATGTGTTAAATCCTTGTCAGTTAAACTAAGAAAGACGACACATGTGACAAAAACCTCAATAATTGCGTTAACACTACACAGCCCTGAGCCGCTTTCGCTTATCTTAAATTAAAAAAAAAAAAAAAAAAAAAAAAAAAAATTTGTCTGTCAGTTAGGCCGACTCTCTCCAGTCTCCATTTCTTCTTCACTTCTTCCTCTTCCCTCCAAACTTTTTACAATTTCATGGACTCCAACCCCAAGCCTCGCCCTCGTCCCAAACTCGACCGACGAAACGCCATAAAAAACATTGAATACGACGCTTCCTCTTCTTCTTCTTCTTCTTTCGACGACCACCACTCCTCCAATCTCCGTACTCGCTCACTCGATTTATCCCCTTTGACCGATCACAAAACCAGCTTTCGAATTAAAGGCGTCGACGGCGAATTCGACCTAATTTGCCGCTCTTTGGGCCTCTCCGGCCCCGAAGATTTCGCTATTCCTGCCGCCGCTTGGGAGGCCCGAAAGGCGGCCCGCTCTTCTTCCGAATTTATCCCCAATTTACGATCTCGGTTGAGTCAAGGTGAGGATTTAGTTCAACGGGATGAGGGTTGCGAAGCTGATGCCTCAGTTGATGAGCCTCCTAGCGGTTTGATTTCGGTTACTGTGGGGTCCAGTAACGGAATTAACGGAGATCGGCCGCCGGCGTTGGCGCCGCCTCCGGCGAAGCTACGGCCGGTTCTTGATAATTTTGGCTCGACTTGGGATATATTGAAGTCGTTTGCTCCTGAGTCGGATGAGGATTCTTTGAACTCGCCTTTTCGAGTAGGGTTTATTAGTTCTTTGGATGAAATTGAACGAAATGAGCAGAGATTAGGAGAAGCTCATGACGATGATGATGATGGCGATGATGATGGTGGTGGTGATGCTGTTGGTGATGTTATTAAGAATCAAACTCTTAGTTTGGTCTTGGAGCCAGTGTATAGTGTTTCTCCGCATGGGAAATTTAGAAGAAGTATTACATCGTGGCAAAAGGGTGAGCTTTTGGGAAGTGGGTCTTTTGGGACTGTTTATGAAGGCTTTACAGAGTAAGTAAATTTTTATTTTTAGTTCTGGAGATTCTTCGAGTTACCCTGCACTTGCAGTTCATTTATACATGTTTCTCTTAATTACATGAAGTTGATTAGTTCTTAGTTAGTTGATAAAATATTTGGTAAGTTAATAGGATAAATAATGTTGGACTATTACAGAAAATTCGAGGAACCGGTGAAGTTTTTTTAATTTAATTTTTTATTTTATTTTAGAAGTATAGTAATAGTCAAGGAGATAAGATTTTGTGGTAGAAGGGTACAATATATTGACGGAGATGACATTTATCTGTGTTTTTTTGAAGGTTTCATTGATTATTTTGATAGTCTAGGTCAACAAACAAAGGCAAAAGAATAATTTTGAGATTATATTATTAGATATTCATTTGTGTACTTTTCTAAATAAGTAAGTTTTAGTAATACATACTCAATGATTATAAAACTTTACACATTAAAATAATATACTAATTTTATTGTTCATATTTCCAAATCCGAAAAATTTATAGTTATAAGGCTTAACAAAATGTATTATAATTATTTTCTAACTTTGTTAAGTTGAGTGATAAACAAACAAACCTTATATTGGTTATTATTAGATATTTATTTTGTATATTTTTAATTTAGTAACTTATGATATTGCATACTCAATAATCATAAAATTTTACATTTTAAAATATAATACTTATTTTATTATTCTTATCTCCAAATAAATTCTGGTTATAAGGGTTAAAAAAATGTATTATTAGTTATTTTGTTACTTTGTTTAGTTGATATTGGTCAAAGAGTGATGTGTAAATTTGAGAATTAGAAGGGAAGAGAGAGGAGAGAGAAATGAAAAAAATCTATTAAATACATATCATTGTTTTTGGTTACTGCGTTAATTATACCTACTTTTTAAAACTCATTATTTGTTGCTACTAAATCTACACCATTCATTCTTATAACATGTAAAGGCTTATATTCGATGTAAAAAATGGTGCAATTTTAGGGGGCCATTGATATGTGTTTGCGTGTGCGTGTGCATGTGCTTGCACATGTGTGTGTGTGTGTGTGTGTGATAAAAGCAAGGAAGGGGTGAAACCTGTAGAAATTCTTGAAGACATAACCAATAAGCACCCTCTCTCCTTCAAATCACCAACATAATTATAGACTAATAGTTAACAAAATCAACAACATTGCTACAATGAACTTTGGATTCCTACCATATGTCAACCAACATTTATAGTTACTTTTAAATATCAAAGTTTCCATCTCACTACTTTTTAGTATGTCTTCCTTGGATGTCCTCATGTATCTGCTAACAGCTTGCCATCATGTAAAAATCTAGTCAAGTGCAGATCATAGCCTACATAATGCTTTTGATTACATTAGCGTTGGATGGATATTTGTTCCTTGTCCTCTTCTGTTGAGGTGACAAAGCTGCTAAGAGCCTGAAAAATGTGCAATAAAAGAGGTACTTACAGGTTTAGATATTTTGATGGACCTGATATAATCCAGAGGTACACACTCAAGGGCAAAGGGGGCAAAAAGGGCATTTGATATGGGTACAGGTGAATTGGGTTGTTATAACAGGTGGCCTAGGTTGTTAGATAGAATCTTGGGTGACAGAATAAAGGACAAAAGAATGTGGTGATAGGATCATTCTCTGATTTTGGGGTAAAAGGTTTAGCGAGGTTGCTGGCCCTCGAAGACCAGCTGGGTGTTCCTTTCTTATCTCTTTGCTGTCTTGTAAATTCTGGGATCTTAATGAAAAGTCTTTTCTTCGTTATTGTGTATCTAGTTTGCTGTGAATGGTTTATGCGCATTGTGGGTTTGTTGTTGGATTATTTCTGTTGTTGGTTGGCGTTAGAGTGGGTCTGAGTAGAAGGGTTATCAGAGCTTAGCTCTTTGGGGTATGGTTAGCACTAGAATGGAAGGTGGAGTTGACAACGTTGAGAGAGACATAACTAGACTTAATGAAATTGTTACCTCCATGAGAGAAATCTTGGTTGAAATGCAAAACTGGATGAGGCCTAAGGACGACAAAGACGAGGCTCGACGGAGACAAGTGGTGTTGGAGCAAGGAGAACACTCGGGAACAGGGAACCAAACCAACAGAGAAATCCATCTAAGGAACTAAACACCAACACCCCCCCCCCCCCCCCCCCCCCCCCCCCCCCCCGCCCCTCCTTTCTTCCAACATAGAATGAAAGATATCATAATGGCAACGGGGGATACAGAGAGAATGGGGAGGACGAAGGCTGGAGTTATCGATATTTTCAAGCGAATATTCCATATGGTGGATATTTGGGTTGAACACTATTTTTCGATCAATTAGATAGCTGATGAAAACAAGGTTTCGGCCACGGTGTTATGTATGGAGGTGAAGCCTTGCACTGGTTCTAGTGGACAGAATTGAGGACACCTATGATAGCTTGGTCACATTTAAGGCACTTCTATAGAGGTTAGTGGCGCCCAGAAGTTAGTCCCTTGGATATGATCAGTTGATGAAACAAGTAGGATCTGTGCTAATACGCCATCGTTTCGAGGAAGTGGCAGCACTAACGGTGGGTGGAGGGAAGAAGTGTTGACGGCGGCCTTCCTAAATGGGTTGAAGCCGGTATAAAAGCTGAGATTAAGTTGCAACAACCCTTGGGCCAACCTAATTCCTTGACCCAATTTTCTCTCCTAGCCTAACAGGTGAAGAGAGAAATCAAGCTTTCGATGAGGCCAATCTGGTTTGGGCCGAATGGGAAAAGTAGAGGGAATTCTTAGTGGGCCACGCCAATACTTAAATTTTTACAAGCCTGAAGACACTACTAAACCCAACCCAAACCCAACCATATCCATAACCAAAGAAACCCACCAGTTTCATTTAGATGAACTTCCCTGAAATATTTCAAGTATGGGTCAACGCCAGCAGACAGTTCCCGTGTTAATACCTTTAGCCGAGATTTTCGGAGGTTGATGAAGCCGAAATTCAGAGGAAGAGAAGAGGGGTTTATGTTACGCTGTGTTGCTAAGTTTCCGCAGGCCATAGATGGGGAGAGAACAATTCCAAGTATTGTTGGTGGAAGAAAACCAAGAAGGAGACGACAGGGAGGAATCTGATGAGGGAGCTGTGAATGAAGAAAACCCACACCACACAAGCTAAACTTTCGATTAGCTCAGTTGTGGGAATTGATGGGCCGAAGACGTTGAAGCTGAGAGGGAACATTGGGGGAAAAGAGGTGATCGTCTTAGTCGACAGTGGAGCCTCCCACAACATTCTTTCGATAAGTGTAGAGGAGTTAATATTCCAGTAGCTCATATTAGAGCTTTCGGGGTCAGAGTGGGCGATGGTATCATGTCAATGTGACGGGGAATGTAAGGGGTTGAGCTTAAATTGTCAGAGTACCAATTCTTCAAAATCTCTTTCCGTTTGAGATGAGTGGAGCTGACGTCATTTCGGTAGTGGCTTGGTTGAAAACACTATGACTAATTGTGGTAATGAAATTCAGTTTGGCTGGTGAAGTGATCACTCTTAAGGGAGATCCATCCTTAAACAAGACCATGGTGTCACTTAAAGGGCTGTTGAAAACATTGCAATCGGAAGGTCCAAGGTATTGGATTGAGTTCAATCATCTACAATCGCAGTCAGAAGAGAAGGAAGTGGGGCATTTAAGGGTCCAAAAACTGTTACAACATCATGAAGCCTTATTTGAAACCACCTCATGGCTCCCACTAGAAACAGTCCATGACCACACCATCAAATTGGAACTTGGCAGTAGACCACCCAACATTCGGCTATATTGGTATCCCTATTGTCATAAAAATGAGATTGAGCACCTAGTTAAGGAGATGTTAGTAACTGGCATCATTAAGCCAAACAAAAGTCCATTCTTGCCGTGACTGGTTTATGTGCATTGTGGGTCTTTTGTTGCGTTATTTGTGTTCTTGGTTGGCATTAGAGTGAGACTAGGCAGAAGGGTATTCATCAATGTACTTATTCTGTAACCAAGCCATTGATGAGGCATTAATTTTCCCTTGTTGAAAATAACTTGATGAAGCACTCCCAAGGACGTTGTCCAGTGTTCTTCTGGACAATGAATGAATTCTTTTTGATTCAAATGTCATCCTGTTCTTTTAATATACAGGAGCATACCTCTTGTTCAATAATTTATACTAAAAGCAAATTACTACAATGCTTTTCATTATACAAATTGCATGACAGAATTAAAATTAGATTTTATTCAACCAGATTTACTTTGATTCTATGCCTAAATGTGCTTATTCCCCAACAATTTATGAGCTGTAAACCCAAACAAAAAGCAGCAAATAATAACGAGCCTGTTTGGTACATCATTTGAAATATGATATTTTGAAAAATTACTCTAAATAGGATTAAATCAAATAAGATAGGATTCTGAGAATGTATTTGGTACATTTTCTAAAATTATTTAGATTATTTTTTAACCCCCTATATTTGTTAATTTAGCTAAACACCCCTTCTCCCCCCAAAAAAAGTTTATAAATTAATAAAAACACCCCTACCCACCCAACCAACTGCCAGCAGCTGGCTACCACTGCCGGACAGTGGCCGGCAATCGCCGGAATGGCGCACGACCGACTAGATCTGGCCGGTCGTGCGTCAATCTGGTCTTTTCTGACCATATCCACTGTGTATTTGGCTGGAAACAACTAGATTAGCACACGATCGGCTAGATCCAATCGATCGTGTGTCGTTCTGATGCTCGTGGCCGGCAGCGGTAGCTGGTGGTCGGTTGCTGGCAGCCAACAGTGCCTTGGGTGGGTGGGGGTGTCTTTGTTAATTTATAAATTTTTATTGTTAAAAGTAATTGTATGTTTTGAGCTGAATAGAATATGATTGAATTTTGAATTAAATTCAGTGAATAGAGAAACAGACATGTTTTTACTCTTTACAATAGGATAGGATAAGATTTGAAAAGTGTACCAAACAGGGGGAACAATTCTAAAACATTAGTGCTAGATTTCTTCCCTAATCTTTAATCAAGATTTATTTTTCAAAAGAAATAAGAATTCAAGACTACACATACTTGTGGTATTCTCAAGCTCTCTTGTTATCTCTTGTGCACGTAATTCAGCAGCTTTTTGTGCTGCCTCAGCCTGTCTTTTCTCTGAACGAGCATGAGCAGCAGCTGTAATGGCAGCATCTAGCTCTCTTTCCAGAGTCTCTACTCTTTGCTCCAGAACCTATATGCAAAAGATAGCTAACATTAAATATCTTTGTACTTTCTGGACAGTACCTTTGGATGCTAGCAGGAAAAGTTATTTGAAATACAGTATCTGCCTCAAAAGTACAGTTTACATCTGGTTTCAATCCTAAGATGTATTTTTATGTCCTCAAAAAAAAAAAAAAAAAAAAAAAGGGTGCAATGTTATGCTTATTTTCACCAATTTGCCATTGCATTAAACCAATTAATCATTACTAGGTGTAAATCACAGGATCAGCAACAGCAAAGTATTTCATACACTACAATGAAATAAAAGTATTAACTCAACTAGTTAACAAAGAAGATGGTTTAAGGATGAACTCATACTCCGAGCAGATCAATCAAATAAAGAACTAGACAATCTTACTTCAAAGCCCACAAATCAAACCTATCAAAAAGAAGGATGAAGACAAGCACCAGAGTGATTATGCATCTCATAGCACTTCACAAATACCATATAGCTAGAAGAATCTAGAAAGATACCAACCTACCACCTATATGTACCAAATATGAAAATCACAGATTGTAAATTGTTAAGAGCAGAAAAAATAAATAAATAAATAAAAGAGGAAAAGAAAAAAATCGGTATCCGATAAATCTATAAATAATGGAAAAATATTCTTATCCACAGATCTATGAAGAATTAGACTACCTGCACCAAAAGTACACAAGAATCTCACTCTTGTCGCTGTGAAATGAAAATAAATAAATATATAAACTAAATAAAACTAAAACACACAACATCAAGAATCATCTATAATGGATTTGCAGCATCTAATCAGTCAAACCAACTTACCGACATACAAATCAAACTAATCAAAAGAAGACATAAACAAGCTGCAAAACAATCACACATCATCATAGCCAAAAAGAAAATGAAAAATGAGAAAATCACAATCAAATAAATATATAAATGATGGACAAATATTCTTATCCATGGATCTATGGAGAATTAGAGTAACTGCATCAAAAGAAGTACACGAGAATCTCACTCTCGTCCCAATTACACGAAAAAAAATATATATATATATATAAATTCAGTAAAACTAAAACACGACATCAAGGATAATCTATAATGGAGTTGCAGCATCTAGTAAATCAAACCAACTTACCCACATACAAATCAAACTAATCAAAAGAACAGATAAGACCAAAAGAAAATGAAAAACGAGAAAAAAGAAATCACCATCTATGAAATTCACACACAAACTAAGGACCAGCCAATATAATTTGTAAGATCAAGTTCAAACAGTTGATTAAACTGATAATAGCAGATACCTCACTTAACCTCAGCTAAAACACCAAGAATCAACTTAAATGAATCAAACAAACAAATTCAAAAGCACTTAAAAATATTAAATATATAGATAAAAATATAATAATATTGCACTAAATAAACCAAAAGACCTATTCTAAACATAATTGTATAAAAACCCAGATCAACAAATTAATGAATCATAACAATAACAAATGAATCGAAATTTAGTATACCGACTTTGATGGTTCTGGCTTGTTCAGAGCTGAGAGAGGCTTTGGTGAAGGTCTCTTCATCGACAAAAACAGCTTTTTTGAGAAGCAGTTTTTGAAGAGACTCCAAATTGGAAGACATCTCCGTCAGGTTAGCAATGGCTCCTCTCCATCTCTCCTCGCTCCCTTTGTTCTTCTCCTTCTCTTGCTCCATTTTTTTGTTTTAAAATTTCATCATTTTCATAGACAAGTATAAATGTATAATGGTAAAAGATGGGATAACTTTATAACATCCCTAATCTTTAGCGGCGTTTCGTTGGGATTACGATGAGATTACTTGGGTTAAATTATCTTATATTACTTGATTACCATGTTTGGTTGTCAAGTAACATAAGATACAAGTAATTTTCAAATACCAATACTGATTATTATTGATAATATTGAAGGTAATCTGATTACCTCTATTTTCTTAGGCATTCTAATATTATCAGGGTTATCTTTTTTTATTACAATTATATCCCTTATTAATAAAATTTTAGGACAATAATACCCTTATTTTTAAATTTATTTACATGAATATAGCTTTTACAATTTTACCCCAATTAATTAACTTTTTGGACAAAATTACCCTTGAATTCAAAACAAATTGAAGCTCATCCAAGCCACCACCCCTACCCACCTGCCGTCGGCAATCACCGTCGCGGCCTGCTGTTGCCGGAACGACGCATAGAAGGCCGAAAATGGTCGTCATGTGCCTATATGGTCATTTCCAGCCAAATATCTAGTCGGAAATGGCCAAATCGTGCCAGATTTGGTCGTTAACGGCCAGATCTGTCATCGATCTAGTCGTCAACGGCCAGATCTGTCACGTCTGGCCATTTCCTGTTAGATCTCTGACCGAAAATGGCCATATGGCGCACGAAGGCCATTTCCTGCCTTCCGTGCGCCGTTAGGTTGCTGACGACCTGCAGTGGTTGTCGGCGGTCGGTAATGGCTACGTTGGTGGGGTGCTTTGTTGATTTTCCAAACTTTTATTATAGGGTTGTTTTTGCTAAGTTTTTAAATGCAGGGGGGTTATAATAATCCAAATAATAATAAATATTAAAAAATAATGTAATAATAATATTTAATTAGAGGACAATTCAATAATTTAAATAACATACCCACCAATTTATTCCTCCCAACCAAACATATTAATATAACATACCCACCAATTAACCAAACACGTTTTCCTAAAGATTCCCAATAATCTTCAAGATAATCTAACTTTCTAGTAATCCAACATTCTTTGAACCAAACGCCCCCTTAGTATAACATTACCCCACCCCTATAGCTTACAAATTATTGCTTTTTTCGTTCCCTTATAAGTATGGTTGTTGGGCTGGGCTAATTGAAACACATTCGATTTTTCACTTAACTTCGTTTGGTTCACTATTTTGGGAGTTTTTAGAATAGTCATTTGGAAAAAGTTGAGTTGAGTAGTATTCTGAGAATTTTTTTGTACATTTTTTAATAGCATTTTCAGAAAATATTTAGATTATTTTTAACCCTATATGTTTGTTAATTTAACTAAACATTCCCAACAATAAAAGTTTATAAATTGACAAAAACACCCTTACCTACCCACATTTGCTAGATTCTAGCCACCACCGCTAGAAAGGTGGTCAGAATCTACCGTAATGGCACAGTACCAGCTAGATATGGCCACTAGTGCACCGATATGGCCTTTTTTGTCTAGATCCACTGTTGACATGGTTGGAAAAGGCCAGATCTAACCATCGTTGACAGCCAAACGACGATCAAGATATGGTCGTCATCAACGGCCAGATCTAGCAACCGCAGATTTGGCCAAAAAAGGCCAAATCGACGCACTACTGGGCATATCCAACCGATAGTGCACCATTATGGCAGATTTTGGCCACCTTTCAGTGGGGGTAGCCGGAATCTAACAAATGTGGGTGGGTGGGGATGTTTTGTCATTTTATAAACTTTTATTGTTTGAGGTGTTTAGTTAAATTAACAAACCTAGGGGGTTGCAAATAATCTAAATATTTTGAGTTGAATAGAATAGTATAATATTTTGAAGAGAATTTTGAATATTGAAATAAATGTGTATTTAGATAGGATTTGTTGTATGTGATTTTTCCATCAAGCTTGGAGGATTGTGAGGTTATAGCTCAATCTACAACCAGTTCGACTTAATTGATTGTCTGACCCAACATAAGCTCGTTGAGTTATAGCTCAACCTAGCACAAGCTAGTCGCGACCAATCCTTACAGTTGTTCAACCAACTCACAGATAACTTTAGATCCAAAATATCTTGGAAATGATCTGATCGACAACAATCATGGGGCAATCTCAATGCTCAATCGCGAGAACATCGAAGTTGCATTTCAATCTTAATTGTAATCCCTTTATTTTGCTATTTCCTTTGTACAAAATCTATATATAAATCCTCACCAATGATAAGAAAGAGGTTAGCAAATTGTTCTACGAATATTATTGTAAGCTCTCACAGCAAATACAAAAATAGTGGACGTAGACTCAAGAGTTTAACTCGCCGAACCAATTTAAAAACTCTTTGTGTCCTTATTTTACTTCTTTTCATTCATAACATTGCTGGTTACCCATAATCATGCAAACATTAGTTATGATTTCGTCAAGGTCAATCAGATCACTTTAGTTGGTGCAAATCTTGTATCAACATTTTGACACTAGAAGGACCTTTGCCAAAATCTCAAAATTTTCAGTAAACAATCCCAGTCACCCGAATACTCAAGGCCCACAATGGTTTGTACAAGATCAAAAACCACCACTAGAAACCACGAAAATTTGGAAACCACCCACCAGGAGGTGCATCAAGACGTCGTTGGGCGTTGACCACCAGTGCCACTAGGTTAGCAGGTCGCAAACTAGTAGGGGGCAGGGACGTCGAATCTCGAAAATGGTCAACTGGTGGAGATGATCAAAATGATGGTTGCACAGGCGGTGCAATAGAACGTGGCTGAATTGAGAAACCATCAGTCGGCCCCCTAAGACTTGGACCGGTCATGCTTCAATGATGTTACCCTAACAAGTCGGATTTCAGATAGTGACCAATTTGGTTTGTTAGCACTGAGGAACAGTCGGCGATCTCAGCATCGCCGAGCACATGTTTCTCATGAACGAGAATCCCGCAGGCAAACAATCCTTGGGAGGTGACCAAACAAAGAGCCCGTGAGGGAAGATGAAGGCAATGGTCACCAGAGGGATACTTAACCTACTCAATGATATCCCCAGCGTCAGCGTGCCGGTTTTAACCCATGCCAAAGGCATGCTTAAACATCACAAGTTTGCGAGATGAGTAATGCAAGCCAATCTAGCAATGACCGACGTTTCGGTTATAACTAATGTCGTGAGCAACGTACTGATGAGCTTGATAACACCTACCAACCAAGCCATCTGAATCGACTTCGCGTGTCAATGCGCACAATGGAGGGGGCTCACAAGTGACAGACTTGGAACTCATCTGCTTGAGGTGAGGTTGAATAGAGCTAGCTAAGTTAATCCCCATAACGAAGACTTAGATCGAGTGCAGAGAATGCTCGACGATTTAAGAGCCCACTAGAACAATGCGGTAGAAGAGATAGTAAGCTCTCCATTCATAGAAGAAGTTCGCTAGGCCCCACTTCTTTAGGGATTCAGGGTGCCAAAAAGCAAGTTCGATGGGAAAGGAAATCCCAAAGACCATCTTGACACTTTCAATGACCTGATGGAACTACACCAGGTCTGTGACTTGGTAGAGTATCACTGCTTCGCGGTCACATTGGTAAGGGATGCCAAGAGGTGGCATAAAATGTAGCAACTGCTATAAACTAGTACAATGCATGCATAATAACAATAGAAAATGGGCCCACAACTTTTCTTTTTATTATAAGTAATACGTCTTTTATACACAAAGAGCATCAATTACAAAAAGCCATTTTAAAAGACAAAAACAGGGGAAACAGTGTAGCTATTGCTCCTCGCTTGCCGACGCCCCTCCGACTGCATCATCACCTAGATCCTGCATCCACAAAGGAAAATAACAGGGTGAGCACAAAATAATGCTCAATAAGTAAAACCCTCTATCTGTTTATCCCCGTATGTAATTCTCTTAATTCTTTCCTTACACTACTTCTGTTTTCTGTTTCTACTAGACGCCATGGCCTCATCTTACCGGAGGTACGGTCGGATGGCGTTCACACAGCACCATCTCACTCTTCATGACTGTTGGGTGGAGTTCACACAGCACCAACCCGTTCTTAGTGACTACCGAGTGGGGATCACAAAGCATTTACCCGGTTTTCGTAACTATCGGGTGGAGACCACAAAGCACCTACCCGTTCCTCATGACTTTCGAGTGACGATCACAAAGCACTAACCCGTTCTTAATCACTGTCGGGTGATGATCACAAAGCATCAACCCACTTCTAATAAATGTCGGGTGATGATCACAAAGCATCAACCCACTTCTAATAAATGTCGGGTGATGATCACAAAGCATCAACCCCTTTCTAATAACTAACCGGGTGATGGTCACAAAGCATCCACCCATTTCTAATACCTATCGGGTGATGATCACAAAGCATCAACCCATTTCTAATGGCTATTCGGGTGGTGATCACAAAGCATCAACCCGATTCTCATAACTGTCGGGTGATGATCACAAAGCATCAACCCATTTCTACTACTCTTCTCATTCACTCTATTCTAGCACTTCTCATTCTCTCTACCTTTAGAGTAGTTGCATCCACAAAGTTCTCTACTCATAGAGCAAGTGCATACACAAAGTTTCCTACTCTTTCTTAGGTCACTTCTCAATGCACAATTAATGCCTATGGATGGTTCATCTCCACTAATGCACTTATGAAATGCCAACATGCAATGTTGCAAGAATTAAGGTTCACTACTCATACTCAAACCTCTATTAGGCATTTCATCAAACAACTCAAGTGCATAATAAAACTCTACTATAACAATAATTCTAAATCTTTCTCTAACCATCCAAAATGGGGAGAAACCCCCTCACATAGCCACATATCCTGCCAAAGAAAGACACTTCCAAAAGGATTCCTCAATACCCTTCAATTCCATCTCAAACTACCTTTCCAACCCACATCTCACTTCTTGTATTTGTAATGTATAAACAATCACAAAGCACTAGAAATCTCTATTTAAGCCTCAATAACATGGCATATAACATGTATATAACATACATACATAAGTGCTATCAAAACCCTAATCAA